AGCAAGGACAGGCGTTGGGGGAAGGATGCTTCGAATCGGCCTGAACCAGCTGTGAACCTGCTGTCGGTTTTCCCCCTCAGACCCCGGCAGCCAGGGCGCCATGAACAGCAGCTACTACAGCAGCGGGAACCGCGCGTCCATGGGAGTGAACGGCATGGGCGGCATGTCGAACATGTCCAACATGAGTGGTGGCTGGGGAATGTAACCCATCGCTGACTTTTGGTCACATCTTTTTTTAAAAAACGAAAAAACAAAAAACTAAGTTTAACAGTTTTGCAATACGAGCTTGTGATTTATGCTTTACTGTAAGTGAATTCAGGATTGTTATTTTAAAACCTTTCAGGTTCAGTATTTTTGAACATAAGAAATGAACATTCATCTAGGATGTAATAACCAAGTTGAGTAAAGACTATAACTGTTAAACAATTTTGAGCGTTTCTCAAGTTAGTTTTGTTGTAGGAGTGTATTTAAGCAGTAAGCGTATTTAGGTTAAAGCTGTTTGAATTATGTTAAATGTTGCTCTTATACCATATTACATCCAACACTGTTTTGAATACATGTTGAGAGACATGCTTTTTTGTAAAGAAACCATATAGAAGCTGTGTCTGAAATTCAAAAGTGAACATTTGGCATGTTAGTTCTAGTTTATTTCTTTTAATATCCTGTAAGGCACGTTAAAGCTTTTTTTTTTTTTAAGTTAATGGGGGAAACGTGTTGAGACGCAATACGGCTACTTTAGGATTTTGGTCTTGGTGTTCGTATAAAATTCTGAGGCCTTGATTTAATCTTTCATTGTATTGTGATTTCCTTTTTAGGTGTATTGCGCTAAGTGAAACTTGTTAAATAAATCTTCCTTTTAAAAACTGGAACTCATTCCTTCTTGCTCTCCAGCTTCTGTGGTGTAGCTGTGCCTGCAGCAGTGTCGCTTGCTGACTGTAGTGCTCTTAACATGGATCGGCTGTGAGTGTGGGGTGCTCCTGCTGAGCATCCTCACCCCAAAGCTGGCCTTGTAGGGTGTGGAGTGATGATTGTTTCTCACCAGCTGGGGTGGAAGCTGTTGGTCAGTCCCCCAAGGTGGGGCTGTGGCTGGAGCTGTGCAGGGGCCTGAGAGGAAATTCTGTGCTTCCTCAGAGGCATCTCCTGTTTGGGGCCAAAGTGTGTATCCATGGGTTGGGCAGCTTAGTGCAACCGTCTTTGAATAAATTCTACTTGCTGAACGTTGTCCTTAATTTTATTATAAGCAGCTGAGTTGCAGCTTTTGAGCACTGGAGCTTGTGTGTGTTTGCTGTAGTAAATTGATTTGCTGTGTGTAATTAACCATTCTTCCTGAGGGTTAGAAATGCGAGGTCCCTTTCTGCAGTGAAGCAGCCCCCCTCACATCCTTAGTACGTGTTAAACCCTGAGCAGGGTTGTCTGTCCTACTAAAACTGGGCTCTGTGGCTGGCGGCTGAGGTGGAGCAGGGCTCAGGGCAGGGACCTCCCCGCAGATCTGGGTGGAGCTGGCGGGGCTGGCACTGTTCTGAGCGAGGCCGTTAGAAGCAGCGGGTGGGTGCGCAGGGCCAGGGAACAGCTCTGGGCTGTCACCAGTCGCCGCTGCTGGGGCCACGACAGCCCCGACACGGTGCAGCGCTGCTGCCGTGCTGGGGCTCAGCAGAGGGCTTCTGCGGCGGGGGACAGGCAGGAGGTGGTGCTGCCCTCGCTGGGGGAAGCGGCTCCTGCAGCGCAGCGGCCTTGGCACCTCCCACAACACCCAGAGCAGGAACTTACTGCTCAGGAGTTCTGGGCACGTTTTGGTGGTTCCAGTTTAAGCCCTGGCTGTGCACAGCCATACAGGAACACTCTCCCAGGATCTGTGACTGACAACCTGACAGTTAAAACTCTGAACTTCAACCCTGCTTTCAGTTCTTGCAAAAGGCTTTATTGTGTAACTACTGTACTGTGGTCACAGCGACTTTCAGAACAAGTACAAGGTGTAGTTTTTGACTGCAGTGAACAGAAGGCACATTCATTAACACTTCTCATAAATCTCTTTCTATAGACAATTCATAAATTGACTTTTCTTCTCTGGACTTGGAGCAAATACAAAACTGTACATGAGCCCGTGAAACAAACAGGAGCACCTACAGCAAAGTTAGAGAGGAACTGAAGTTAATGTGCACAGAGACAGTGACATCTGAAGGGATCAAATAAATGTAGAAATGCCATATACAAATTTTAATACAAATATCTATAAAAATCAGAAAAGGAAGTTGCAATTTAGTTTCAAATAGAACTTTAAGGGAAATTACAGTTGATATAATTTTCTTAACTATTCCAGTTGGAGAAACATTCGCTTCCGTTATCCCTACAAATTATTTTTACACTGCTCCATCTTACAGTGGAAAACGCTAGAGACCAGACAGTCTGCTGCACAGAAGATACCTGGAGTTCAGCATTAAAAAAATAATGGCTACTTTCCAATGTTAAAGTGGTCCTGTTGAGGTTACGAAAGCCTTAGGAGGAGTTAGATGAACACCGCTGAAGGAGTAGAGTGTGACAAGTATCGCAAACACGGACAGGCTTAGGGTACGATGGCAGTGCGAGTTCATTGCTGGAGCAAGTGTTGCAGAAGATGTCCCCGCAGTTTCTGCAGTGATGCTGCAAACAGAGTTAGAATAAGTGCAGCTGCCTAAAAACGGAGCATCAGGAAGAGCAAAATCAGACCTAAAAGCTTGTGAAGTCCGCTGCCATCACCCTTCCTCCTGACCCCTGGCCTGGGCCCCAGGGGCTGCCCCGCTGCCTCCCAGCAGCTCTGGGGCTCAGCAGAGCAGAGGCAGGCCCGGCTCTGCACGAGGGAATGCGGGGCCCGGGACACCCGGCGCCCCGTGCAGGAGCCCGGCAGCAGCACCCGCCCCTGGAAGGTGCTGAGCACCCGCTGTCAGCGCCCAGCTCAGCGAGGAAGGGAGAGGAGCCACAGCACGGGGAACATGGCCCCTAACAGCTCCCTCCCAAGGGAAGCGCCCAAGCAGGACGTTATTTTTAGGATGGGAAATGCCGAATTACTTCTCTATGTCGTTATCATGCCAACGAGAGCTGGCACTGAAGCAGTGTCAGTCCTCCCTAGCAAACCAAGCAACAGCAGTTTGTTTTCTGTAGCAAAAGGCAAAAATAATCCCCTGAACAACACTACCTTCCTCCTTGAGATAGAGAATTCCTTTTCACATTGCTTGCAGTGTGTTGCTTCATCATCCTTCAGCCAGGTATGACCCTAGAAAATTGCAGTGAAAACCTCACTGTAGATATAAATAAATTTATAAAATAGAATTCAAAGGCAGCTTACCAACATTGTTGGTATTTTTCAAAAGCCATCTTTTAAAGTAGGAGAACTGTAGTGCAATTTGAAGGTGTTAAATGAAATCACATTTAGTCAAAACATCCAAGAGCTGCAGAGTACCTTTAGCGCTTTATTTACTTCTTTAATATCTTCCATCTTCAATTTTGATCTGGAAAAAAAAAAATTATTCCCTCTGCATGACTTTACATTTAGTTGTGTTCAATTTTATCTGCCGTTCCACTGTCCAGCCGTTGAATCTAAACTCTTAATTCCTGTTACAGCTCTGAACCGCTCAGTATTATCAGGAAACTTTGTCACCTTGGGGTTTGCCCCATTGTCAGTATATTCAGAAGATTGTGGGAAAACCACAGTTCCACTGTTAGAACTAAGCATTTGCAGTGGTTTTTCCTACCTCATGCAGCCTACTCATGAAAGGGATCTTTCCTCACTTGTATTTTATGGCTGTTCAGTTGCCCAGGCATAGTAATTGCCTCCTAAAATTCTCATCTTTATTGGTTTTTATAACTAGATATGTTTTAATATTGTATTTGTTTGACACTCCATCCTCCAGGTTACATCACTTACAGGAATTCAGTTCCTAGAACTTACTGGCTGAGATGAAGTCCCATTTCTTGAAGAGCTTGCTCCTGCTCCTCACAGACTTTCTCTAACTGCTGCTTCTCATCTTGCAGTTTTCTCAGTTCCTATAAAATCAAGCACAAAAATCAATATTTTTGTGCTGAGTTTGACCTATAACCTAGATCAGTCTATCCAAACTACCCAAACAGTTCAAAAGAATAAGCTCCCTTACAAAACTACCGATTTCTAAGGCTTGATTTTTAGAATTACATGGGTGAACTACCCACGGGTTCTGCACAAACAATTAAATCATTCAACCGTATTTACCAGAAAGAGCTTTAAGCATCCTCGAGCACAGCTAGAACGCAGCACTCCTACGCCTACACCCGAGCGTATGGACAGATACTGTGTACAACTGTGATGCCAAAATCTAAGCTGCTGCATACACAGGAGCAAATTCTCTTCGGGTTAACAAGAATCTTAACGCTTAAAAAAAATAAACCACATTCAGTTGTTTTGAATGCTTGAAAATGTGTTCTTAATTTATTACACACAGCTGAAAGACTTCACAGTCAGCAAAAGCCCTGAACGTGCCACTTCCTACCTGAGCAGGGGCATCTACCCCATAGCTGATCAGCTTTTTGTCCCCAGTATCCTGCCCCAGCTCAGCCACTGACTGGCCATGGCTCAGACCTCGCACAGCTCAGGCAGGGTGGGCAGCCAGAGGTGGCTGAGGAGGCTGCTGAGCTCTTTTCCTTGCCTGGGCCCTGTATTAGCATTTCATGTATGTCAGCCAAGCTTCTGAAACCCCTCAGAGGGGAGTGGTACAGAAGAAACACTCCACTGCAGATGCAAACACCGCCCTGGTTCTAAGCCAGCTTTAAGCCTGAGCACAGGGCATGTTTGCACCGGCCATACCTTCTTCAGTCCTTCCATTTGCTGCAATTCTGTTTTAAGCAGAGTGGTAGCATCCTTCTCTTGGTGTAGCTCTTTTTGCAAAGTTTGTCTCTGTTCCTTTTCAGATTTTAACTCCTTTTCCAGAGTTGAGCTATTTAAAAAGAATTAATTCTAAGAAACCCTATAGGAGAAAAATATCCTATAGCACTTAAGGATAGCAATAGTATGAGAAGAAGGAACCTTGTCCAAAAGAGGGCAAAAACTAGAGTGGTGTTCTGGGAAAGGACATAACAGGTATGTTATAGCAGCAGACATCGAAAATTGTATCAGCATTTTCAGGTCACAGAAAACAAGCAGCAATGAATGACTAGAAGAAAAAAAGGAAACAAAACCAAAACAAATCCCCACACGTACGTATCTGACTAGCTGTGTTTAAACATCCATGTTTAAAAATGCTCTACCCTCAAGTCTGAACAGTGAAAAGAAGCATTTTCTGTAGGTATCAGAAATCCTCAGAGGATTAACGTTCCCTGAGAACACACCCCCAACCCCCTCCAAAACACCCAGTCCGTTTGGATGACAGTCACTTACATGATCGGCCCACAGGCATGACTGTACCTACTTCTTGATTTAGTAAGAAAGCAATTGAAAGCTCCACTGCCAGCCAGAACGGCCAGATTTCTACTGGCACTCTGGGCTCGAAGCAGAATGTTCTGGAAAAAACATTCCAAAATCCTGATGGTAACTGTGCACTACACGGAAGTGCTGTGCTTTCTTTGATCTGGCACACTTCTGTCAATACTGGCTGAACCCAATATAATTCCAACATACCCCTCTTTAGACCTTAGCACAAACGGAGTAGAAAACACTTCTTAAAGAAATGGCAGAAGGGAGGGAAAAACACCTGATCAGGTTAATTACCATTTGCTATCCAGTTGGGACATCTGTTGCCGACAAGTGTCAAGCCTGCCAGCAAGCTCTTGCTTCATCTTGTTGCACCTTTCTTCTGCAGTCTGCCTTGCCTTTTCTGCATGCTGCAACCTACAATGTAAGGAACACGTACATCTGTTGTCACTTCAC